TGAACAGAAGAATACGCTAGCATCAGCATGCACGTTTCTCAGAGAGTATACTAAGACAAAATTTACACACAACGTATTTGAAAGGACAAAAGATAAACGAAAATAATTTTCCAATTGCTAACCTTCATATGGGATGTTTGAAAGATTATTAAACAAATTCTCACAAGGTACTGCTATCAGCCATCAAATCTGTAATTTACACTGCGATATTACTGATGATGTGGATGGAGTTCACAATACATTTTGAAATTAAGTACAAACTGGCTAATGTGGATGGTGCTAAATGTGTTAGAAGTAACCTCATGTATCATTAGCTTGACACAGATTTTTCTGTACAATGTATCTGAGTATAAAAATAGTTGCATTGTTGCAGACATTACAAATTACCTAGAGTAGCAAACATTATAAACATTTCAAGGATGACAAATTTCTAAAAATAACAAAGTCATCAGAGCTTAAAAGTCAACCTGATTTTTTCACAGCTAATAAAACACGTCTTCACAGAGAGAATTATATGATATAATTTTCTAGAATACAATGCTTTCAAGCTTCGTGTCTTGCTAGCAATTTTAAAATGCATATTTTTAAAAATCACAGACACATTAAATAGCGGGGCAACTATAAATATTACTACTAAAAGTAAAACTACATAAAACCCAATAAGTACTATATCCATATACAGTTATAACTGTTTGATACCTAAGAACTGTGTAAGCAACTTCTTGAAGTTAACAAAAGCAGATTAGCCTGCAAAGTTCACGAATATATAAATATAGAAGCAACTTTAGCAATGGAAAAGTTGGAGAAGAAAGTGTGTATAACTTTCTTCTAGAAGAATTGTTTAATCTTTTTGCTGTGAATGTGCTATAAAAATATTGTTCCCTTTTATTTACAGTGAGTGTCAATGATTGTGTTTTTCACCTTCAAAGTTGTGACTTGGTTTTTAAGTGAAGTGGAACTAAGCTGCGATACAGCTAGGATATCTGAAGGTCACAGTCACCATTCCAACTCTGGAACATTGGGATTTTTGGTGAAGTCACACCAGGAGCAGGTCTCCCAGCCCACGGTCCCACTGTGAACCTTGATAGACCTTTACTGACCATCAGGATGGGCTCCAGACACCCACACTGGCAGCTGGTTATTGTTTGTCACTGTTTTTTTCCCTTGCTACCAACCACATCACAATGGTAAAAAGGAAGCTTTCATTTCAAGGAACAGTGCTTTAGCTGTTTCTCTTCAATTCTGCTCGTTCTCATGGCATTGTAAGTATAGGTTGCATGGCTCTACAGAAAAGGACACAGTCATGGAAAACAGAAAATACAGAGGTACACAGAGACATAGAATATGAACAGATACACACAGAACCAAAGACACTTCCTAATGTAAACAAACTGTATATGTATATAGTGGTGATATACTGATTATTTTTGTTTTCCTATTCAGAACATCATCCAGACTTTGTAGAGCAATGTGGAGATTATTCAACTACCATGAACACTATAAGAAGTAGTTCTTTATGTTAGTTTTCAATTTAATCCATGTAGAGGCCATGTAAAAATCCACCACTATACAATTATACGCTACCATATAAAGGCAATTTAGGCACACCTGCATATGGGTAGTATTTTGTTTAGGTATTAGTTATAATGATAATAGCTTATTTATACACTAACATTTAACAAATCCTGGCAAAATTTGAATACTGAGGTTCAAGTAAAAGTTTTTTTTAATGTCTTATGTTGAGAATACGTATAATTACACATTTTTCTTAACTAGTGCCCAACGGTTTTTCTCTAACAGAAGGTAAATAGAGGGTAGAGGGGAAAATGGATGATTTATCAAATGCAAAGTATATTAGAAGTACTGCATGTATTAATTAGCCTCTTCATTGTTTAAAATGGCTACAAGAATTTTCATCTTACAGATGGGAACTAGGCTTACAAATTTTTAAGGTACTGTATGAGCCTGGGGAAAGAAATACAAGTCTTTTCATATCCTTAGCACTGAGGATAATTTTCGGGCTCAATTTTCTGCTAACAAGAAAAAAGGTTTCAGAACCAATAGGCGGCACAGCTGGAATTTTATTTCACATCTGTCAGACTTCAAAACCCAGTCAGTCTGTACGAAAAAGATGGAATGGGGAGGCAAGCAGTGTTTCTGCCTCACCTACTTCAAATTAATAGGAGAGGTAACAGGCGATGCTATGCAGAGAAAAATCAGAATTGGCTATCTGAAGCACCACGACCAGAGCTCAAGAAGCAGGGTCCTTGATTTTAAATTCCCGCTGTGTCACTCACTTGGTAGCTGTGCGACCTAAGTCATCTCTCACTGAGAACCTCACTCTTTTAAAGTGTAAAAAGATGATGATGATAATAACAAATAATAACAAACCCATGCAAATTTTTGTGAGGGCTGAGTGAAGCAATATATTTGATCACTTTGGCCATAAAATCAGAAGTTATCATTTTTATTTGTTCTGGAGTAAATCATAGATATTTAAATCATTTCTCATAGAAGTTAATTACCAGTGATCAGAGGGCAAATAAAACTGGACATCTGGACAGTACAAAAGGAGGTGCCGTGAGAGGATTATCTGAAAGCGAAAGTTCTGTATCTGTGACATACATTTTAACTGATAGAGAACTTTTAACTGATAGAGAACTTTTACTTCCAGAGGTCAGGTTATGCAGTAATTCTTGAAGTCAGGATTGATGGGACTCTTAAAAGTTTCTGTCCTGTTATATTTCAGCTCTTCATCAAGGGTGTATTTCTCTATTTATTAGAAGTTGAGTTCTGAATGGTTTTGCAAAAGTCTTTTATTGAAAAGAAGGGGCATCACAAAGTGTCAAGAGAAAGCTTTGTCGAGAAGATAGGATACAAACTTTCCCTTTCTTCTGGAATAAAGTTTAAAATTATCATAGCAATTCTATTAGCAATAAAGTGTGTGACTAGAAAACTTCTGTATTATTTAGTTTTTCATGGTCCAAAAATCAAGATATTATTCAGCAGTCCAAATAAAATCGAAAGGATTACTTTAAGCTTTTAGCTCAAAATATTTTACATACTATATTAATCTTCTATGTGTCCAACTGTAATATTAGAGTTTTTATAGGATTTAAGGACTCTGCAGTGATCTGAGATATTCTGTGTGTATGTGTTCAGTACAGACTGCCAAGCTAGAAAGCAAGAGTCACAGTCCACGACAGAAATGTTTTTGGGGCCCACTGAATGCAAATAAGGTATCAGACTTGGATGACTGGAAATTCAGTTCCAAAAGGTAGTCTTTCTTATAATGTTTATTTCTGCTAATTTTAACCTACTTTCCTTTAAGAAGAATGATTTCAAACTGACCATTTGAACATAAATTGTAGTATAACTTTTTCCTCAGTATCAACAAGTGAAACAATATTTGTTGTAAGTTACTAAAACAAAAATTAATTGGATGGATAGGTAGTATGATAAAGGGAATTAATATGTTTTAAGACAATATTTGCATGCATAGAGCTAGATTCTTTTTAAACATGTTATTTCCTTAATCTTCAAAATAATCTTATGAGGCAAGTCTTGTTTTGCTTTTTAATAAAAAGTCTAACTTGAATCATCATAAAAATATGGATAAGTAGAAAAGCATTTGTGCTTTCTAAAGTGAAATATTTTTTGTTATTGTCCGTATTATACAAAGCTCTGTGTGCCCCTGTGTGGGAATCTGTAAGTGCACATTAGTCAAGCAAATTAAGAAAATATTGTGAAATTGTTGAAACTTTTCCTATTTAAACAAGGTGGATAAATAAATGGAACTTTATTTGAATAGTTGAAAATATCTCTATCTTATAATGATTTATTAGAACTAAATGTATTAAATTAGGGAAACTTTATTGGGAAACTTCAAAAGACAGAGAGGGTATTTTATCCAGTTTTTACAGTGACAACAGAACGCAATTCCTGTTAAAACTTAGGAACTTGGGGCAAATTTGGAATTGCATCACTGTAAATGTACAACAGCTCTCTCTAGTCAATTAGATACCCTAGTCAATTAAAGTTTGCTGAGGAAACTAAGAATTATTTCAGCTGCTTGCTTCACTACCGTATTCTGAAACCTTGTGAGTGGTGGTCAAGTTAGCTGTGTCTCTGTCTTCAGGGTAATTGCTGTCAACATCCTGCATCACAACATCTTCACCTTCCCACAAAGCCAAGGAAAATTAGCAGAAAACTTTACATTGCAAATAAAAATACTACATATTTAAATTTATCAGTTTTTATAGAAATTCAGTGAATATAATATTAAGTGCAGAAAATACGTCATGTTTCCATACTGAGTAATTATATATTTTTTAAAGTTTGCAAGAGTAATTTCTAAACTATTGTATTTGCGGTATAAAAATTTAGTCTAAATAAAGTGAAAGAATTCTAAATGAACAACTTTATTAGGCATATATTAGCATGTTTCTGTAAAAATTACATTTGTCTAAAAAGTGAAAGCATATATTCATAACTTTGTGAGGTTTTTTTCATTGAAAGGTGTATGACAACCAGTTTACCTGTAATTAGAGGTCACAGCTTGCTTTTTTGTGTATTAAAAGTTGTACAGAATAGAAAACACTCAAAAAAAGGATTACTTGGTCTAGGAAAGCAAACTTCCATGCTGACTACATTAAAAATGGTTTTTAAGTACAAAAATATGTAGCCAAAAATTCACTGTAATTCAAATAATTAGGAATGGAGATGAATTTCCGTAAGTAGTATAAACAAAGGAGAAAGTATGCAACGGTTCTTAGAAAACAAGCAAAACTCCTTGGTTGCACACACATTTCAATAGGCACTTTAAAAAATCTGACTGCATAGTTGTAATTACTGCAGCTTCAAGTAACAGGATTATACCTACTCATATGATTGCATGGTGGGTAAGAACTACGAAATCTCTGAGCAAAGATTTCAAAGGAAGGGGCTAGTATGAGCAAGTGAGACAACGCAGACCGTTACACAGAAATCTAAGACCTTACCATGAATTATCGGTGCTAAGAGCGTCGTGAAGATCAGGAGCTCTAATGGCCACATGGCTGTGCAGTTGTTGTAAGAGTTTCTCAGAAATGAGTGTTTCACACGTGAAACGAAGTGTACTTCCGGTTCCTCCTCTGTGTTCCAAGACAGATGATTTAAAAAAAAAAAAAAAGACTCAAAATAATAAAGGAAATATCCTCAAAAACGGAAACACCAATATCCCAAATCTGTAACCTGCAAAAAAGACAAAAAATGGGGGGAGGAGATGTTATTAAGGGAATACATTCTCATCTTAATTTTTAAAAAATTCCTTTATTTCCTGACTAAAATATGTTTTCCTTCTGCCTTCATTTTCATGAAGAAATTGTATGTAAAGCAAATAATCTGAAAGACATTAGTTATTCATGTATACGTGGTGTTTATACCCCAGTGTAAGGCCAGAATGAAACAATTTCCAGGTTGGCACTGAAAAAATTAACACAAATGTAATATCTAAATATGTATAAGGAGATTTGAGGATTACTTTGTACAAGTATTTTCTAGAAATTCAATTTTTACTAACATTAAAATGTTAAAGTTTCATTCATTCCTATTGCTACAAAAATTTTAAAAAGTTAGGCATATATTTTATTTTCATTTCAGGATCTCACAGTCATTCAGAAATAATTCTATATATTAACGATATTAACTACATTGCTTTTCTAAGTGCAATTTTTGTATGATCATAGACTTTTGTCTGCACACTATTCTTAGTTCTTTTTCAAGTTTACTTGTTTTGGCAGTGCTGGGGATTAAACTCAGGGCATTGTGCACGGTAGGCTGGCACTCTACTACTGAACTACATTAGCCCAACAGTGGCGATGAATGTTTTAGAGCTTTCAGCGCTAACAGTCCGCTGCTGCACCTGTGTCACAGATTTACCACCGCTGGTCTAAAACATCAACACCGAAATTCCAGGCAAGGCACTGCCTAAATAATTTATACAATTACAAAAACAAACAAACAAACAAAACCCTTGTTTCCTTTATGCTATTCTCAACAGCTTACTTTTAAAAAATAACTATATACAGACTGATTGAAATGAAACTCAAACAGGGTAATTTCACTTAATAGAAGTTTGCTAAGTGCCAATTGATATACCAAGCAGTGTGCTAGGAATATAGCATAGATTATTGAATACACCATGCATTCTAAACACTAGGATGTTGAAATTTAAGATAGTAAATTTTGTATGTTAAATGTCTTAATAATGATGAATAAGGGTGTTAAGTATGTGTAAAACATTAAAAACCTTAAGCACAAACAGTCATTTTACCTAATCCAACTCTCATATTTGCCTTTTCTTAAAGTCTGCAGATATGTATTAAGAAGCCAGAATACTAAGAAAGGATAGCAAAGTCCAATTTAGAAGACATTGTCTTCCACATCTCCACCTTTAAAGCTGATGAGTCAGGTAAAATTGGGTCATCTTTCTTAAATTTCTTTCTTATTTATATTCTAATGATTGATAAATATTATCAATAATTTCAGATCTTGAGTATAAATTTGATTTTTTGAAAGTAATAGTTAAAATGAAGGTAGTTTACTAAAGAAAGTAGCACAGGTTAAACATCTCCACCAAGAAAATTTTAAATTTGCAAATTTTGAGTGCTGATATGACAACAAAAGTGGAAATTTCACATGACATAATATGAAGGGTCACTGTCACAAGACATGCACACTCAAAACATTGCATAAAACTTCCCTCCAGGCTCTGAGTACAGTGTACAGAAAACATAAATGAAGTCTGTATTAGACCTGAGTCCCGGCCCAAAGAGCCAAACTGCCTAATGACCTTGGTTCAGTCCCTTAACCCCTCAGTACCTCAATTTTCCTAAATGAGATTACTACAATAATTTATATGGCGAGATGAACATTCAATAAATTAAAAATTGTAAGTTTTAATTACATAAGATATGTATTGCCCTGATCAATGCTAGCATGTGATAAGTGGTCTATAATTTAATATGTAAGTAGAAGGTAACAATTATACTATATAAAATGTCTAGATTGTTCAAACTATAGGAAGATATACCAACATTCATTGAATATTAACTTTTTTCAAAAAGGAGACTTTTTCATGATGATTTCTTCCAATTTATGTGTTGTAATTAACATCACCAGCCCAATCTATGCTTACATAAAAGAGATTAAAGTAATTTCTAAAACAAAGGTTTTCAAAAATGCCCAAAGAAAAAACTCAATAAATATTAAGGATGCATTCAGTCACATGTGGCAACACAATGTACCTATGAGTTACTAATAAACACTACACAGTCATAATCATGTGGTAATCATCTCCGCCCTCTGAAGGAATAGATGAAAGCTTTCTCAAAAATGCCCTCCGGCAAAGCACTTTCACCTGACACACTGTGAACACGAGCTCTCTAGGACAAGCAACTCCTGGGAACAAGATCAGGCCATCAGCATGAAAGACGCCTTCAGCACAACCGCCTCCCATCTCCCCGCCGTAAAACATCAACAGGTTTGATGTGACAGTCCCTTGGAAGAAGCCAAATGGGTTTTAAAGGAGTTTAGACTGAATAAAACACATAACATTTAAAAATGCTAACTATAATTTACAATGATGAAACCCATACATATGCTTTACCTTTGAAATTTTCTTGTGATCTGTTAAAAGAATTCTATGTATTATTTCTCAGTTTAGGGAGTGTATGTGGCTATGGAATGGAAATGTAAAGCATGGTAGTTTGGTCACTACCACGGTCGCTACCACTCACACTAGCTTTTAAAACTTAAGAAGTTTCTCTTAAAGTGACTCTGAAAACCAAAACATCACACTAAGGTTCAAGGATCTTTCATTTCTTTTAGCATTTTTTTACAGGTAAAGAACCTCATTTAACTATTAGTAAAGCTTTTACTCATTAAGATTAATTAGCAATAATAAGGTTTTAAATGTTTTACTATTCTTAAAAAGTGCACTTTCCCTTTGGAGATTCTTCGAAGAGAAATTCTCAATCATCTTGTTTAATACCTTCAAAAATTGTTTAATTCAACACAGTTACACATACACGTCCATTTGGCAATTTCATCGGGGTATGCACTGTTTTTGTTCAAGGGGGTACGTGAAACATACATGGCATAAATCTCCCTGAAAGAGGGGACACACAGAGCAGCAGGAGAAAGAACAATCCCAAGCAGAGGGGAAAGAACGCATGACAATGTGGGAAATGCAAGCCATAAAGCATAAATCCAAACCACATTTCACAGAGAAACAAGAAGCAGTAACACAGTTTTGAAAATCCATTTGTTGGTGGGAGTGCAGAATGGTACAACCACTGTGGAAATCTCTATGGAGATTCCTCAAAAAAAAATAGGATCAGAGGTCCCATTTGACCCAGTTATTCCCCTTCTTGGTATCTTCCCAGAAGAATTAAAAATATCATTCCATAGAGATATATGTGCACCCATATTTATAGCAGCCCAATTTGTAATAAGTAAATCTTGGAAACAAACCAAATGCCCAACAATGAAGGAATGGTTAAAAAACATGTGGTCTTTTTGTACAATGGGGTACTACAGCTATAAAGAAGGATAAACTTGAGACTTTTATAGGTAAATGGATGCAACGTGAGATCATACTCATGTGTGAAATAAATCAGACTCACGTGTAAACATTGTATTGTCTCCCTAGTGTTAGAAACTGAAAAGGTAAGTAAGGTCCAAAGTATAAAATAGATATTGTGAAATAGGAATAAATTGTTCAAAAGGAAAGAGGAAATGGGGTGGAAGAAAGGGGAAAGGAAGGAAGGGAAAAGGAAAAATAACAAGATAGTTATTAGTTATCTTGTACTCTGAGTAACTACTTTGAAGATAACAATCTGCAGTATACTAACTGTTGTTATTCTATTATTTTGTTGAAATTTGGTTGCATTTTTTTTTTACAAAAAAAGAAATCTAGAAGACCTGCAAGAAGAGAGGTGGCATTGTGCTAGAATTTGAAGCCTGCGTAAGACTTCACTAAAAAGCTTTTGGCAAAATGCATTGCAGATAAAGGTCTGTTATGGTAAAGACAGGGTTGGTAAAGGAGCACCCACCCAGAACAAGTCTTCTTGTCTGTCAGGAGGAAAACAGGAATGACAGAGCATCAGCTGAAGATCTTGGAATAGAATTGGAAGAGTATGGAAGGCAGTACGAAGGAAAGTGAATGAAATTGACTGCATTCAAATAATGTATTTTATAACATTTCATGATGTAGAACACCACACCATATAAAGCACTGCAAGGTCTTTTTAAGAAAAAGGTTAAGTATTTAATTATATTTCAAAAAACAGTTTTCAATATAGCTATATTCTATATTGCTTCTAAACATTCAAATACTAGTATCTTGAATTAAATTTATGTACTCTGCTCATTGATTTGAGATAAGAAGCATGAGTTAATAAATTCACTAGCAGAAATTAGGCACTAAATGAATCATAAAATTAATAAACCAAGTAGTATTTAGAAGAACCTAACATGACACCACACAAAATATAATGCATCCTTTGCATCTTCATGTGGTATTTTTGTCATTGTTCCAAACTTGTGTAACAGGGCCCAACATCACTGTTCTCTGAGATCAAATACTGATTCCAGAGAGTTAACCACACTTGTAATTATTATGCATTGCCACTGAGCACTTACCTGGGTAGATGTATATTTTCTAACACATTCCAGTAAAAAAACAAAGTAATCTCTATGAAATATGCATTTGCCTTGACCTTCAACTGAATGGAGTGCTATTTTCTTTGTCTTTCATTTCTGTAAAAGTCCCTGTTTTCTTTTACAACATGCACAGACTGTTGCAATTAAATGTGAGACATGAAATATCTAAGACACAGGAAACACGGATGGAGGACAGAACACAAGCTTCAGAATGAGAAAAAGCCAAGCTGAATTCCACTCCATCTGAGCTGCAAATAGTACCACCGTATGAAGATGAGCTAAATTGTCTACATCTGAATTGATTCTTTTCCACATCTCAATTTATACTTGTTTTATCATGTGGCTTAAGGGCAAAATATGAAGAAACTAGAAATATTATTGCAAAAATAGGAATTAAAAAAATGAAAAAAGTTTTTGTTTTCACTTCATGACGGTATTTATATTCAAATGGGTTATGAATGGTAAATGAGGTTACATCTGGTAGACAATGACATAGAAGAACATGTCACAGGAGTCTGTGAGTGGAT